GATGGAGGCGCCGCTGTGAATATCCTGCCCAAAACAATGTTGAAAAGGTTTGGGAAATCTCTGGCTGACTTAAAGCCTCATAACATCATGATCTCGGACTATGCAGGAAAGTCCTCACACCCTGAAGGTATGATTTTGTTGGATGTGCAGATTGGGAGTGTGAAGAGGACTACTATGTTTATAGTGACGCCATCGAAGGCGAATTTTAATGTCCTGCTAGGTCGAGAATGGATACATGGGGTAGGTGCTGTTCCTTCCACGGTTCACCAGAGGATTTTCTTCTGGAATGAAGATGAAGGGTTGGAGGTTCTCGAGGCTGATCAGAAGACTTATGAAGTTGGCATGTATTTTGCTGATCAACAACTGACAGCATTTGCCAAGACCAAACCATTCGACGCCTACAATTCTGGGGTGATGGATGAAGAGGAAGGTGTCAAGAAAACCTTTTGTTGGGACGTGAAGAGAGGATTTGTGATTCGAGCCGAAAAGAATTCGGCTCCACTGGATGAATGAAGAAAGAAGATCCTTACTCGAGCTTCTTAGCTCGAATATCGGCCTATGTGGCCGATCAAACGGCCAACTTGGCCGAGAAAGATCAGTTTGCCAATGAGGTTAGCACAGCCATTTTGGCCGAAGAAAAAAAAATGAGGGGACCGATTTCGAGTCAATAAGGAAAGAATAACAAAAGAGGAAGGGAAAAGACTTCGAAATTGAAAAGAAGAATGAAGAAAAACAAAAAACAGAAAATCAAAGGGACTAAGGAGTCTCAGATAAAAATGAAAAACAGAAAGGAAAAACGGACCTAGAGGTCGAAAAGACAAAAGAAGGTAAAGAGCAAGAGCTAGAACTCAAACTGGACTGTATTTTCGATGATTCACCCTTGGGGTTCGAAAGGGCCGCTAATGAAGAACATAAGTTAGAATCCCAAGATCCTCTCGAAGAAATTAATCTGGGAACCGTCGAAAATAAGCGAGTCACTTATATTAGCAAGTTCTTGCAAGGGGAGCTGAAAGAGGAGATAATTCGAATTTTGCATGAATACAAAGATTGCTTTGCATGGGATTATGATGAAATGCCAGGACTAGATCGAGAATTGGTGGAGCATAGGCTACCAATGATCCCAGGAAAGAAACCCGTGAAGCAAAGTCCTCGAAGATTTGCTCCTGAAGTGATCGAGAAAATCAAGGGGGAAATTGAGAGATTGCTGAAGGCAAAGTTCATCAGAACTTCGAGATACCCTGACTGGATCTCGAATATAGTGCCGGTTATAAAGAAAAACGGGAAACTCAGAGTTTGTATTGACTTTCGAGATCTCAACATGGCAACTCCCAAGGATGAGTACCCTATGCCCATTGCTGAAACTATGATAGATGCCGCTGCAGGTAATGAAATTATGAGTTTGTTTGATGGTTATTCTGGGTATAACCAAATTTATATTGCAGCTAACGATGTGTCAAAAACTGCTTTTCGATGTCCAGGTGCCTTAGGCGTCTATGAATGGGTGATGATGCCATTTGGACTCAAAAATGCTGGTGCTACTTATCAGAGGGCAATGAATTTAATATTCCATGATCTAATTGGTAAGTTTGTACAAGTATATATTGATGACATAATTGTTGGGTCGAAACAAAAAGAGGATCACCTAAGCCATTTAAAATTATCTTTCGAGAGAATGAGAAAACATGGTTTGAGAATGAATCCACTAAAATGTGCTTTTGGTGTTACAGCAGGAGAATTTCTGGGGTTTGTCATACACCAGAAAGGAATTGAAGTAAATCAAAACAAGACGAAGGCTATCATGGAGACTAAACCTCCATCGAACAAGAAGGAACTTCAATCTCTCCTAGGTAAAGTAAACTTTTTGCGAAGATTCATATCGAACTTGTCTGGTAAAACTAAAGTATTTTCTCTTCTTTTACGCTTAAAAAAGGAGCAAGAATTTCGATGGGATGAAGAGCACCAGAAAGCGTTCGATGATATCAAAGATTACTTGGCTCATCCTCCAGTGCTTGCACCAATCTCTGAAGGGAAGCAACTGAAGTTGTACATTTCAGCTAATGATTCGACTATTGCGGGCATACTGGCGCAAGATGATGATAATGGCATCGAGAGGGTCATATATTATCTAAGTCGAATGTTAGTGGGAGCAGAAGTTAGATATTCTCCCTTAGAGAAATTATGTTTGAGTTTATATGTTGCTTGTACAAAGTTGAAGTATTATATTAGGACTCGTAATGTTGTAATATTTTGTCGAAGTAATGTGATTAAGTATATGTTGTGTAAACCCCTTTTTACATTCTCGAGTTAGTAAATGGGCACTTGCATTAACTGAATATTTGCTTACTTTCGAGCCATTAAAAGCAACTAAAGGCCAGATACTTGCAGATTTTCTCGCTGACCACTCGAAGGAAATAAAAGATATCTTATACTTAACCACAAAACCTTGGTAATTATATTTTGATGGATCCAAGCATGAGTCAGGCGCTGGAATAGGTCTTTTAATCATAAACCCTCAAGGATTGTCGACTAAAGTGTCACTTGAAATGAACAAAAGGTACTCGAACAATGAAACTGAGTATCAAGCGTTGATAACTGGACTTGAAATACTAATGGAGTTAGGCGCTCGAAATATATTGATTTGAGGTGATTCACAATTAGTTATCAAACAATTAACACAGGAATATAAGTGCCTAAATGAGAAGTTAATTGAATTAAAAGCTCGAGTCGTGCAATTACTTAACACTTTTGATGAAGTCGAATTACAACATATTTCTCGAGGCTCAAATATTATTGCAAACGAGTTAGCTCAAATTGCCTCAGGATATAGGGTAAGTAAGAAGTGTTTGGAGTGGCTATCGCATGTACAAAGTGAATGGGCAGATCATCGAGAAATATTGAACGTGGGTTCTTCGTCTTCGAGTCAACAAGATTGGAGGAACAAGTTGATTGAGTACTTGCAGAATCCCAATATAAAAGTTGAAAGAAAGATTAAACTCCAAGCCCTCAATTATGTGTTGTTAGATAATGAATTATATAGAAGAGGTTTCGATGGAGTCCTATTTAAGTGCCTTGGAAATCATGAGAGTTATATAGCTATGGCAGAGATACATGAGGGTATTTGTGGAGCACATCAGGCTGGAAAGAAAATGAAATGGGTGTTATCGAGAAAGGGTTTGTATTGGCCAACAATGATTAAGGATTGCATCGAATTCGCAAAAAGTTGTGAAGAATGTCAAAAGCATGGACCAATACAAAAGGTACCAGCTAGTGAGTTACATTCAATTGTTAAACCTTGGCCATTTCGAGGTTGGGCAATAGATTTAATTGGACAAATGCACCCACCTTCTTCGAAGAACCACAAATATATATTGGTCGCCATAGACTACTTCACAAAATGGGTTGAAGCTATTCCCTTAAAAGAGGTCGAGCAAAAAGACATAATTGATTTCGTCGAAGATCACATTATTACAAGGTTTGGGATTCCTCAAACAATTACTACTGATCAAGGCACAGTCTTTACAGGTCGAAAAGTTGTTCAATACGCGGAATCGAGAGGAATTAAGTTAATAGCTACAACACCATATTATGCACAAGCAAATGGCCAAGTCGAGGCTGCTAATAAGGTAATAATTGGTTTAATCAGAAAGCATATATCAAATAAACCTCGAAGTTGGCATGAAACTCTGGTTCAAATATTGTGGGCTTATAGGAATTCACCTCGAGATGCCACGAAAACTACTCTGTATAAATTAGTATATGGCCATGAAGCTATTCTTCCTATTGACATTAACTTACAATCAATTCACATACAGAAACAAAGTGAATTACCTGTTGAAGATTATTGGAATTTAATGTATGATGAGTTGATTTCTTTAGAGGAAGAAAGATTAATTGCGTTGCAAAATCTTGTCCAACAAAAAGAAAGAATCAAGAAAACATATAATAAGAGGGTCAAAGCACAACATTTCCAAGTCGGAGATTTGGTATTAAAAGTTATCCTCCCTATGGATCAAAAATCTCGATACCGTGGTAAATGGTCTTATAATTGGGAAGGTCCTTTCATAGTCGAGAAAGTATATTCAGGGAATACATACGTGATTAGAGAATTAAATTCGAATGCAAGCAAAGTAATGAATGGGAAATATTTAAAGTGATTTCATAAAAGAGTAGAATACTGAATGTTCAAAAGCAGAGAAGAGAAAAATAGAGGAGCGAATCTAATTATTACAAAACTTTACTTTAAAATCCCTGAAAGTCTTATAAGCCTCATCTAGGCTTTGCCTTCGAGAAAAACACTGAGCTTCCAAATGCCTTTTCTGCTCCAGGGTTTTCGCGAGTCGAGAGGATATGACCTTGCCCTCCTCTTTGAGACCTGTTTGGCGCTGTTTGATCTCATGACTTTGGACTTTAATGGCATCCTTTTTCGAGCGAGCCTTCTCTAACTCATGTTGGATAGATTTGATAGTGGTTTCTATATCTTTCTCTTCTTGTTGCAATTGTTTCAGAGAAGAAACCATTTCTGCTGTTGCGTCTTTGATCGTAAGCAGGTCATTTCGAAGCTTCTCGAGTTTAGCACGGTCTTCCTCGCTTTCAACCTCGACATGAGCTACCTCTTGAAAGGCAGTGGACCATTGAGATCGAAGGTCCCATGCGAGGCTGAAGGGCTTAATAAATTCTTGCAATTCAGAATGAATTTCGGGAGGAAGATCCGAATGAGACAGTAAATCCTCCACCATTTGCTCAACCTCTGTCTTAAACTCTGGGATAAGAAAAGCCTGATCCAGATCCTCAACATAGGCCTTTGAGCGAAACGATTCGAGAAGAGGTTGATAGGAAGGTGTTTCAAGAGCTTGCTCAACAACTTGTAGTTTTTCTTTTTCCGACCCAGAAGGACCGCTCGTCCAGTTGTCCAAAACCTCGAAGATACTATTAATATCTTCGTCCTCATCATTGAAGAAACTCATCAAATCCAAATCCGGAGAAGGAATTGAGGAGAGACCTTAGACAGAAGAGGTATCACTGCCTTGGGTGGAGAGAGAAGTCGTGAACGGCCTAGGAGATTCAGTCAAACCTGCACAATGGAAAATTTGTAAGATTTCAGTAAGAAGCCATCATGCAAATGGTCAGGTCGAAAGAAATATACCCTTGTTCTGAATCAAAGGAGGTTGTAGCTCAAAAGAGGGTTCACCTTGAGCAGAATCTTGTCGCGTCTCCGCGTTAATCAAAGGTCCTGATTGAAGAACCTTACCCTCTTCGACCTGAGGGGGAATTTCTATTGAAGCCATAACAGAAGCAAGCACCGTAGCATCTACTTGGGGAGTAGACAACTAACGAAGTAAAAAGTAAAGCTGAGCATCAAAAGAGAAGGTAAATAAAGAGGAATCTAAAGAGACGACAAGATGGTGGACCTGTTGGGTTGCCTCGATAACAGGAAACATGTCTTTTTGCATTTCTCGAGACAGCTCTCGAGAGGAATCTAGTTGGATAACCTCAACATCCTATTAAGGTAATGTTAGAAGAGTTAAAAGCATAAGAGAAATATTAGACGAGATAGACGAGAGTAAAAGTCGAAATACCTTGGGAACAGACTTCATGGCATCCTTAAGCAGTTTCTCGCCAGAAGGTTTTTGAGGTTTCTTGGAAAGGGGAATGACCATCTTTGTCTTCCCTTTATCCTGCTTTTTTGTAGTCGAGACCTGATAGTGGAAATAATGAATGTGATTATGAAATTCGAGTAAGTAAATAACCTCAAAATTTAGATAATTCACTTACAGTTTTAGTACTGTCTGAACCTACTCTTTGCCTTTTCGAGGTTTCAATGCTCTGCAAGATAAGAATCATCAATAAATGAACGCAAGGTAAAATACTTTGATTGTAAGGAAGAGAAAAGTCGAAAAGAAATATACCTTAGAACGAAGAGAAACCTTCTCAGCTGCAGTCTTTCTTTTTCGGCCTTTTTTCGAGGATTCTTTGTCTTCATCATCTTCACTTTCCCAGTTGGGAGTTTGCTCAGCATGTTGTGGAACACGCTGAGGTATGACAGCTACAAAATTCGAGAAAAAAAGTGAGACAAGTTTAAGATACACTCGAAGAGGAAGTAAGCGAAAGAATATTTACCAGGAGCAAGGTTAACGTTATTGACCCAACATAATGGCCACCATTTGCTTCGAGGAAAATCATACACGGAACATTTCCCATAAGTAACTCGATTCTTTACAGGAATCTCTTTGCGCTCAAGGTAAAACGGGTCGAGTGTCTTCACCCAAGGAGGGTGAGATAAGTGTTTAACCAGACCAGAAAAAGCATTTGGAAGAGGAGGTATGTGTTTTGGACAAAAATTTTCGAAATTAGTTTTACCTTGAGGGTTTATTACCTTTTTTGAGCGGATGTTCCGTTGTACCATTTTTGATAAGGATACATAAGCGTCAAAGATGGTGCGGTGTACATTGTCAGGTCGATAACAAACCTTAAAAAATTGTTCGAATTGATAAATTATAAGTTGATTCTTGAAAGTACCTGATTGCTTAGGCCCCTGCGAACAAGAGAGAGGAGAATTAATCAGCTTCTTCAAAAAGCCATCAAAATCGATGAGCTTATCTACAACATAATAACACCACCATCGAAGGTAGCATTTCGAAACTAAAAATGAAGGAGAAAAGTTGGAAGGCGTAAGCTTAAGTTCTTTCTCTGGTCGAAGAATGAAGTCAAGAACTTCCTCGTAATTGCCCTCTTCGACACAAATATCTGCATCAATACTTTCCTTACGTCGAAGAGGCAGGGGTTTCATTTGGCAGAGACCAAATTGACGAGCAAAGAGTTGAGGCTGATAAGGGTAGAGTCTAACATCTTTTTGCCTCATGCCTGAGAAGATGACGTCCCATGATAAGAACCCAAACCAAATGTCAGTCGAAGAAGGATTGATGCTCCCAACCTGATTATTTTGACGTAGCCAGACTGGACCTATTAAATTTTGTCGAAGAAAAGGGGCTAAATCTTCGGTGAACTCAGTGAAACTAAGAAACGCTCTAATATATTTTTCAAAATTATCTACCAGACGTTTCCGTGGGGTAAGGGTAGTCAAACGAGCTCCTTCGAGTTCACAGAGTGAAATTGGAGTTGAAGGTAAATAGAGCCTCTTCTCGAGAATGGCGTTGAGCCATAGTTGGAGCAGCCATAATGGACCGGAAAGATTTCGAGGCCCCGACTCTCGAGAAAGACTCTCAGAAGCTTCGTCGAGGCATGTGTATAGGGAAGCTAGAAGCAACTTGCTCAAACATATCTTTTTCTTCAAATGAAGGGCCTGAGCTAGAACATAGTAATATTTTGGGACTTGGAGGGAAGGAGTACAGAAAACACAGGCCGACAACCAATACATTAGAAAAGCAATGTGCTCTAAAGAGGAAACAGGTGCACCAGGTTGTCCCATATGGGCAGTAATGAAAGCCAGATAGGTTTTTTTATCCCAGGTGATCGAAATATCCTTGATCGAGAGTTCTTCCTCAAAAGCATTAGGATGGAACCTCTCCCCAAGAGGCAGTAACCCTGTTATAGCAGCAATGTCGAGCAAAGTGGGGCAAACAAAACCACAAGGGAACTCGAAAGCCCTAGCTTCTCTATTCCAAAAGAAAATGGCAGAGAGAAGCATTTGAGGGTCGAAAAGGTGAAGGTCAAACTTGGCTAATTGGATAAACTCAAAAATACCTATCTCTTTCCATTCAGAAGACATAGAGGCTTCTATACGGGTTAGCCAGGATAAATGTCTTTCTTTAACAGGGGGAAAAGCTCTAAAAAATTTTGTGGTATCAGCAAAGAGATTTAGGTTTATCTTGGGTGAGTAAATGAAAGGGATGGTGGTGGCGTCTTCAGGAAGAAGGGTATTACCAAACTTCTTGTTGTTTTAACCGGCAAAAGGACCAAGAAAAGCATGGATAGAACCATTCTCTAGGGAGAAAGGAAGAAGTACCTGAGATTGATATATCTTCAAACTGGCCTCCTCCATGCCGGGGATAGGAACGAAGGTATCATCACCCCCCTGAACCTTGTAGACCTGAGCATTGGTAATGAGCAAAGGAGTGCCCTGAGTAGGAGTGACAGTGGCCATAGTGGACGCAGCGGTTGTGGCCAAGACAGGAGTAGAGGTAGAGGCAGCAGCAGGAGAAGTCGTAGAGATCACAGCAGCGGAGCTGGAAGCAGCGGAAGAGGCCATTGAGTCACAGGAGTAAAGAATGTGAGAAGGAACGCAGGGTTCGCCGGAGAAGAAAGCATAGGATTCACCGGAGAAGAAAATCTAGAGAAAAGACAGAGAGAAAGCAGAAGAAGCTTGGGCGCGAAGAAAAACAATGGTAAAAATAAGTTTCACGCAAGGTAAAAAGGGTTTTAATGGGCCTAAGGTAAATGAGCCCACAGGGAAAAATTCAAATTAAATGATTGTAACAGCCGCAAAATATTTCGGTAACAGTAAAAAACAGGAAGCACGCGCCGTTTCTGCCATTAATATCGCTGCAACGGTCATATACAGTCAATGCGAAGCCAGAAACGAGCCAGACTAGGGTATCATCGAAAAAGGTGCTTCAAGTAAACGTACTTCAAGTAAATATACAGGGATTCAACTCTTTAAATGTACAGGAATTCGACTTTCTTTATATCGATACATATATCAAGATCGAATTCCTAGGGGGGCACTTGTTGGACCCACTCGAAAAACTACAAACAAGTCGAAACAATCACGTAGATTCCTCGAAAAATGATATGAAGATGGACACCTTCCAATAGCAAATATTCGAGATCGAGAAGAGTTATGCTCGAAAACTAGTAAAAGTGTAGTACCAATGGTCACATGAAGGAGATCAAAAGTCTAAATCGAGAAGTTAACATATGTGTGGATAGGTAGGTCGAGAGGTTAATATGAACGTGGGAGGACGGTTAAAGGAAGTTATAACTCAACTCAAGACCACGTAGCAAGCATAGTGGATAGCAGTTATGAGTTAGAGGTGTACGTGCACAAAATTAACCGCTCTTGATTGCTCTATAAATACAAGGAATACGGACCATAACAGGGGTCGGAAAACTCATACTAGAACTACTTTCAAGCACTCTCTGCTCGCTCACATGGCTTTCGTGCAAGGAATCATTTTCGGGTATGACTGCTTCTTGACCACATTTCTTTTCTTATTTTAGAAGTAGGTATAGTGTAATTTCTTGTGTAGTTTCTTACTGTTCTTGTAAGCACGTAGTGAGATTATGTACTTTGAAGAGTATGCTCTATGTAATTTGATCACTCCCTAAAGTGAATCATGATCTGTATTGCCAATATTATAATTGTTCACTCAATTCATCTAAGCGTTCATGTGCATGAAAATTGTTATATGCTGATCGTTGAGGAGTGTTGGAAAATTGGTAATCATTAATTATTCCACTCTGTTCTTCTTGGCGCGAAAAATATACCTAAATTGAAACACTCGCTGTGCTAGTCTACATAAACAGAACCCCGTAGAAGATTAGTGGTTAATTCCACCGTAAACAGATATGATCGACGGATACTCAACCAAAAGTTCGATCAAACTCTCTCAATCAAATCTTAAAAAAAAAAAAAAAAAAAAAAAAAAAAAAAAAAAAAAGAATACCCTTTCAAACACTGAATAAGTTCGTCACTGTAAAATTGTTATAGTCGTTGTTTCAAGTGAATATCAATTATTTGATAACATAGTCAAAAAAAACTATAAGTTGGCCTAATGAATTATAGTGGTTGATTTTAATCATTATTTCTTCTTGCCCATTTCTCACATGCACAGCCACGTATAGGGTAGCATCATGATTCTTTTAAATTCTTTCATTCGATTACGTTTTTCTTTCACGCTTAAACAATTCAGCCCATAATCATGTCAAGTCTTAAACTTCTATTAAATACTTATTTGAATGGGCCACACCCATAGGATCTCTTTGTTCACGCTTAAATTGCTGGGTCACACTTGGTCTAAAGCACCAAGGTGGTGTTGCATTTCATTTTTTAAGTACCAACACATTTTTTAACACCTTAGTTAAATATATCTTTATTGTTCAAATAAAAATTTATTAAAAATTACGAGCAAAATTTATTAAATAAAAAAACAATTTAAATTTTTTTATAATTTTAATAAAATCTTAATAATAAAAAAATGTTAAAAAATAGAAAGGAATTTAGTTACTGTCAGAGAATTAATTTTCTTCTTTTATTTTCTTTTAAATTATTGGTTAAAGAAGAATTACTCTTTAGAATTTTAAACTATAAAGCCTAAATTATTATAATTGTTTCGATATAAAGAATACTGAAAATACTTAGAGATTAACTATGTCCAAAATACTCAAAAGGTATAATTTATCGACTCTTAATCCTAAAAATATTTAACGACTAATTATGTCCAGAATATGAAAGTATAACTTATTAACTCTTAATCCTAAAAAAGTTATATATATAT